CTATCAGAGTTGTTCTCTCGTTTTAGTTGTGCGCTGTAGATCAATTCAAAAATACCCGATTTTTAGCTCGTTTGCAGGCACTGAGTTTAGGTCAGATAAAATAAGAAAATTTTAGTCTTGCCCGTGGCTACTTAACAAATTTTATGATTTTAGAAAGTAGTTCTGTGTTGTGTTGACGCGCATACAAAAAATAAGCGTCGCTCGTTAAATTTTAAGGGTTCTGTGAGTTTCAGAAAATTGGGAAAATTTGCTTATAAAAATGGAGTCCGAAGGGTCGAATAAAGTGATGCTCGTATCTCTAACACAAGAGCAGTGAAGAACCTATGTTTGGTATATTTGTCCATTACTCCACCAGACCTATCTATGATGTTAGTATGAACTTATTCTATTGACCCCCTTCCGTTGACATTTTTAACATTTTGCCCGGTCTTCTCTGACAACCACTCTTAATGTCCTAGGAAAATGAAAAGCAAAATTGAAATTTGAATTCCATTTCCCATGCCTCTGAAATGCGGTTGGTATTATGGTGCAGCCATTAAGAAGGCAAATGATTTTTACATACAATTCGGGGAAGCGAACACACTGTGAAAGCATTTTAAATCTCTACTGTCTTTCATTTTTAAAATAGGGGATAAACTTGGCGCAGCGTGACAAATTGTCACGTAAGCTGGAAGACCAATGTGTCCCCATAATGGGGGTCTTGTTAAGAAGGATTATAATTTAGTTACAGGAGAATAACGGCGCTTTCATAGCAAATAAGCTCAGGTCCTACTTGAACGTCTGACGTTTTGTTAAGTACAACTTGCGAGATTTGTTTCAGAATGTAAAGCAGAACAAATAAAATACAGATAGGGAGTAAAGCATGAAAAAAGACTCCTAAACAATTGGCCGCAAGTGAAAACACGAAGGACGGAATAAATCAAGTGGGTCTAATTCACGCTTCAACCGTAAAAAGTAAACGGTAAGGCAAACATAAAAAACAAACGATAAATAAAGCCGAAATTCAAAAACATGTCAGAATTCTAACAAACGCAGAGAGAATACTAGAATTAAGGAGATGTTACTTATAAAATGTAAGAGGTAAGCTTTTGGAAAAGATATTGATTTCCTCATTACGTGATGAAGCCATATTTAGAAATGACCAAGGTTACTTTCGAAATTTATAGTAAGTAGTGAAAAATAAAGAAATCATATATATAACAAATATACAAAGTTCAGTATGGGGTAGTTACCCAAAAAAAAATTGAAGAGTTTCTCTTTTGTAAAAGGAACACATGCGTTACACAATGAAACCATAATATATAGATTTAGCCAGAGCTAAAAGCGAGGCTCCCATTGATAAATTTATAGTTTAAATCAAACGATAAACTTGTATTCCACAATTCAGTTAACTTTAGAGCACATTTATGTGACTTTTGAGGGAAAGGCTACGTGATTTTAGAGAAAACAGCCCTATAGTGAACCACATCGAGTTGATAGCCTCATATGTGCACCCAAAAACTGGTAATCACGGATCACATTTTTAAAAGAGCCATAATGACACTTGATCACCGTAGATTAATTAGGCCTGGAAAAAAATCAGGCCAAATTTTTGGCGTTCGACAAGTTTACTTTGCGAAATGTTGCCAACAAATCTGGGCGCGTGTAAACCAACCTTTTATACCATGTATACGTCACATCTGAGGTGAAACAGTACTATTAGGCACTGTTTTTATTATACAGACCTCGGACAGAAAGCAGTATTTCACAATTTTGCAATACAAATTGCACTCATTCAATATTCCGGAAGATGGAAGTACGCGTGGGCTTTTAGCTAAACCGTTAAAAAAAATTTCCAAAATCACCTATACGGCCATCCGGTTCTCACTTTTGTAGTGCGAGCTGTGGCGGGTGTTTGAATTAACATTAACAGAGTTACGCGCCATCATAATAAAGAATTTATTATCATAATGTTTATTTTTTATTCAGTGGTTTAACGCGCGACATTTTGAGTACTCCTGTAAGCGATGTTCACTGAGCGACTGAAAACAATCGGCACAGCGATTAAAATTACAAGAGAGACTACTAACAAGGAATAAAAGAAATATAGAATTCGGTGGAACATATACAAAGGCAACAATTTTCATTCAGGAAGACAAGTATTAAAGTGTCTCTAAAAACCCTGAGTCTTCAAGCTCAAAGCTTAAGTTTATGTTTTTAGCCAGCTTCCCAGTGTTTGTTTTTTCAAAGACGAACTCGAGGCGAGAAAATCGCTCAAAGCTTCCTTTTACAGCCAGAATTATAACTAAATATTTTTGGGAACGTTTTCTTTCCATTTGAGGTGAGAAAATGTCTAAGGGCTTTTTTTAAAAGTTCTGTAAGCCAAACCTGATTCTCGGTCAGATAATTGTCTCACATCTTACAAACGTGCATAAACTAAATAGCGGCATAAACTTCGCTCAACTTCATTAAATGAGATACAAAAAAACATACATCAAATACAATAATTACTCTGGCTTACTATTCGAGATGCAGCTCCTGAAAAGTATCAGGTAAGGCCAGTATCGCTTCAGACTTTGCAACCCTCTTACGCATCAAGCAAGGTGAAAACGAAAACGATGCCATCCGAAATCGGATTTCCGATTTTGACAAGAGACGTATTTCTCAACCAAAAACCCAATAAACAAAATAGCCATGAATAACAGAAGACTCCTGATAGCAGGTGAATTTCATTTTGTACATCCAGTAGAAAAAGACGGTTAAAAACATCACAAGTTGACACAAAACTCTGTAAGCTTCAGCTGTCCAGGTAAACAAGATTCAAGATGCTGCATAAATTTTCCGCACGAACTCAACTGTCAAATTCTGACCAATCAGAGCATAAGAATTGGACGTAGAGCGTGACCAACGCGTGACCATGGTGAGAAAAGTCAAAAGCAACTGTCTTCTCTGCCTGTAACAGCTGGCTGAATTTTCGCCTCCAAGGTCAGTTTGAAATCAAAATTTTAAAGACAACATATTTCATATGAATTTTAAAAAAATTGAACTTGAGCCTGCTATCACTTGAAACTAGTGACTTGTCAGCGGATAACTTCAAAAAATACTTGACCTCGATGGGTCGACACCTGAGCCCGCGATACAGTCAAGTGATACTGGTCAGCGGGTACCCTGTTTTGACAGCTGTCAATTGATCAAAACATTGATGTCCAATATGTGTGCATTATCAGTTTTCGTGTGCTCCCAAACTACGGTAGCTAAAAAGTATGAGATTGAACATTGTTCGCGATATAGATCTAGTAAAACAATTAACTGGTCAGCGGACAGCTTCCAAATAAATCACCTCACCGCGATGAGTTGACACATGAGCCCGCGATATGGTCATGGGCTACTAGTCAGTGGCTATCCTGTTTTCACAGCTTTCAATTGACCATATTGTGAATGTCCTATATAAAAGACGTGGACTTGCCAAGACACGCCTGAGACACCCCTCCCTTCCTTTTCATAGTCTCCCCTACCCCACCTGTACAATCTGTAGACGCGTACGTACGTACGTACGCTCGGTCAATCACGTGACAACCAAACGAGAAGAGGTTGACCATATTCCATGAATATGGGGCTCTGTCCCACGCGCGCTTCGCGCGCGTGGGATCCCCGCTATTAATTTAAAACCAACCATGGTTACCTTCAACAATCAGATGTACACCATCATACTTATCATCATCCTGGATGCTATCAGCTCTTAAAATGCAGAGATAGGAGTTCATATCATTTCTGTTGATAGCATTAAATTCAAAGACCACTTGACCAGACATCCAATTTCCAGTAACACGTCCATCATATCCTGACTTATGAAAGATTTTTTCACCAGTGTTCTTTAAAGACAAGATTTTTCCATCTGACGTAAAGTCATTTACACCACTTTTCTTTATGCCCCACTCGATTGCAAGCGCAGCTCCTGAAAATGTCCATGTAAAGTTGAAGGGCAAACCATCTGTACCCTTTAAAGTTTGTCCTAAATATGGTCTTGTGAATTTCAGAACAGCTAAAATAGAAATAAGAGAAAAGAAGGTGAGATTTCATATAATTATTGTCAACGCCAAATTGTAATAATTGACACTACACCTACACCGCCCGGTATGATGTTGGTCAATAGTATTCTTGGTCGTTGTGTAGCTCTTTGAAATATACCGATTCATAATGAAGATTTCACACATATTTTATACAATAAGTGAGATAAAAACAGGAAATGCAAGGTTTAAGCACTGATTCAGTTCGATTTACACAGCTTTGATCAAAACATTTTCAGTTTCGAGAATATTTCATTCTAAACCGTAAGAAAAGATCTGATTAGAAGTTGGAACACTATTTCTCTTTCACTTTTTACAGAAAGTTCATTTTATTAGCCGGAAGGTTAGCCTTAGAAATTAATACATTTGATAAATTCATGCTCGCGCGTTCTAGTCATGTTCTTTAACTAAAGACAATACTCTAAAACTTTATAGAAGGACATCTGTGAGCAGGGTATACATACGCCAGCACAGAATTTAATTCTCGACGAATTTCTGCAATCGTTCATCGTTCCGCTAGTGATAAGGTACCCGTCGTGTTGCTTGTTTGTGGACTGAGTCTTATTCCCCAAAAGAGAGAGAAAGAGTGGCTTGCAAATTGTTCCAATCAAAGATTTGTGAATGATAAACTCGTGTCTGGCAAACTCTCCCATTGTTTATATATTATACACAGTTATACGCACTTTATAACATCATCTGCGCTTAACAAGTGTCTTTTGGTCCCTAACTTTCAAAACAGCTGCTCCACAGAATGTCACTGATAACACGTAACGCAAAACAGTATCGAAGTATGACTGTACAAGAAGTGTCACAAAATCAACCTAAGCGTTCCCTTCGGGGATTTTCTGTTTTACGTCATCCTAATCATCTCTTACTTGCGGGCGTCATAACGTCATCATTACATAACGATTCCACGCTGTCCCGGATCATGCAAATCGAGATTTTTTCTAGCATACTGACTGTATATTTCAACTGTAGGTACTTTTCTACATGTACGCGCTAGCTACTAGGATGCCTCGGCAGGGATTTCGTCCTCTGGGAAAAACCCTGCGGGGACAATAATACCACTTGCATAAAGTGGCACTTCTATCGGTTACACGGGTTGGTTGGAGAATATAAGGCAATAGGTAATTAGAGTTCATCATATTGAGACAATTTTCAGAAGCAGGATGGTTTACCCAATTTAGTAGCTTAATATCAAAATCACCTGTTATAAATACATTCTTATTTTCTCTTGCTAAGTTATGCAATATGGTCTCAATATGCTCAGTGAATCGTTCAAGAGAGGACGAAGGGTGCCTATAGGCACAACAGCACAGAATACTTTTTGATATTACATTCTTAATCTCAACCCAAACAGTTTCAAATTCCTCATCAGTTACACTAAGATCAGTTCTTTTGACAGCATTCAGTGATTTGCTGGTGTAAAGAGCAACACCACCCGCAGCTGATCTGGAAGGCTGTGAATGCAAATTATAGCCATGCAAGACATTATTCATTTTGAATCCTCTTAAAACATTTTCTCTAGTTTCACTGACTCCTATAACTTGGAAGGGGAAGCCTAATAAATCAGAAGTAGCATGCAAATCATCCAGATGAGCGTCTAAACTGTTGACATAAAATAAGGAGAAATATGACTTATTAGATGATAAAGTCAATTTTTCGAAGTCATGCAAATAAAAATACTTGGAGTTAATAGGATTGCGTATGTTATTTTCTATATCAGAATTATCAAGGTAAGGTATGCCAGATTTTAGACAATACATCAAGCCAAGACAGGAATTCAAGATGAGATGGTATTCTACAGTTCTTAAGGCTATAAAGTTCAGAATTATTAACAGAGAAAAAAGGAAATATAGAGGCAATACAGTGTTTACCATACCATATCTTATTCCTTGATTGTAAAAGACAATAATCATTTAAGGATAGTCCATTACATTTGTAGTGAATCCAGTGAAGGCAGCTGCCTTAATGTATAGCCTTATCATTCCTGTTCACAGGTCTGGAACAAATTCCACATGGACACTTGTGGTTGGTAGTAGCAATGTTACTAATTTAGTAATCCGTTCATATAGGTTATAAGATTATCCAGGAGAATAATTGGCACTAGGTGGTCTGTCCTTGATGATTAGTTTATCGTAGGAAAAGTAAGCGATCTTGCTCTCCTCCTTTGCTCGTTTTAATTTTGGTAGAAGTTCTCTTCGCTTCGTCATTATTTCCTCAGCAAGATCTGCATAAATATGGATTCCATGAGGCTTGATTCTTCTAGCTGCTTTAAGAATCGCTTCTCTTTCCTTCCAATCGTAGAGTTTACATACGACTGTTCTCGGTTTTGGCGTACCATCGGGTTTCTTGTCTTTTCCCGTTCGATGTGCTCGCTCAATTGCAGGAGGTCAGTTCCATATGCAATTTTTCAGTGAACGTCTCCTTTACTTTGACTTCCGTGCTCTCCCAACTTTCTCCCGACTCCTCTACAATGCCTTCAATACGGACGTTATTTCTACGGCTTTGATTTTCGGGGTAAGTTGCTTTCTCGAGCTGCTTCGCGCGAAGTGTTTGGAGCTTAGTGATCTCCTCAACCGCCGATTGTAAATTCGTATCAAGCAAATTAATTGTGGTTTTCAATATCCTTCTGGCTGAATTCAAGACTTGCTTTACGGTCTGAAACTTTACCCACAAGATAGTCGACCCTCTTGGTTGGACTTGCCGCAATGGATTCCGCGAAGTTCTTGAACATACGCTCTTGTAATTGCAGGAGTTCACGAATACTAACCGAGGCGAACTCGAACTCGAACACTACTTTCTCAGCCTTCATTATTTGGAAAACATCTCAAAATTAACATTAAACAATGTATTAACGTTCAATGATCAAAAACGTAAGGGCTTACACGACACATTGTTGTTTTAATTATCCATGTCACTGACATCCACCACATTTGCACGACAATGTGTAGGGCCAAGAGAGTTTATCCTCTCTTGGCAGGGCAAATTGTCTTTTACACATTTGCATCGTCCTCTGTAGCCTTTAACGCATCCACACTATACGACAGCACAATACGCCGCACCAGCAGGCGGCAGGTTCGTCTACTTCTCTTCTCACTTGGGCAGACGCATTTTCCCGTTTCCAACCGAATTCTTCAGGGCTTAGTAGCTGCGGTGCTTTAAGGAGAGCCTGGCCGAAGGACGTGTTGACGTAAGGACATCCTTTGTCGGCGGAATGTTCTCTATTTCCCTACCTGTGTGAACAAAGTTTTCCTGGCCTTGTTTACACAGTCATCAGGTATTTCTAAAACATACATCAGAATGATAAATCTCTTGATGGTAGGACTCCAATATATCATCTATGTGTGCTCCATCGTCAGATATTGAAGGTGGCGACGACTGGTTTTCGTGTTGTAAAATGTCTTTCAAGATCACCATCTCACACTTGACTCGCGATGTATAAAGTTAAAAACAAATGCCGGTCCCGTGTCATGGCTAGTAGCTGTTCCTGCGTACGGGTTTTTGCCTTGTCAGGACGCCATCTGAATAAAGGCAAATTATTTCTTGGTATCCTACCACTGAATGCAGTTGTGCGTTGTACTGGGCGGCTGTTAAAGAAGTCGTTGCATTGACGTTCGCTTAGCTCTTTTAAATTGGGGACAGAATCAATGACTGCTGCATTCATTACCTCCTGTGTATTGAGAACTAATAAGAGATCACCGCTGGTATCAGAAAATGGGTTGCCCAAATATTGTCTATGGTTTCAACCAAAACCCTCACATTCTTGACAAAAGATGCTTGTCGTTGCTAAAAGAAACGATAAATTATAATAGTCTTATTTTTGTAACTTACGAATCATTAAGAATCGTCAGTGGTACGAATGACCACGGGTATTTAAGACATTAAAAAATTGTGAAAAAAAAAACTAAGTAAACCAAAATTAAGATTATTCGCCTGGCTGGTCCTAGTAGTGGTGAAGTTTCCTTCTTGCCTAAAACACTGCGAAATTCGCCATTAATCCTGGCCATTTCTGGTCCAGACACCACCTATCTTAGCGGTAGTGCCGATGAGTTCTCGGTAAGACCAACTGCACATCCATCTCCTTTCACGCAGGCATTGTTCTGCTCATGGCTTTCATCCAAACCTATCCAACCCATTCTAGATCAGAAAATGGTTGCTGTGTCTTGTTGAGTTGCTGGTTCGTCACAAAATAAACAATGAGCTATGGCGTCATTTTTTCGGAATAATCTTTGACGGGTGAATTTGTTCCTTCTTTCCTGGGAAAATTTCATCTTTTGTAAGCATCTTCCTTTTAGTAGCGCGTTGAACTTCTTTTTTGTTGAATTTGAGACTGAATGCTGTGTGGAATTTTGCTTTAATTTCTTGCGAACGAATGTTTGCTCTAGTCTATCAACTTCATGTGAGTGAGGTTTGCATCCTCCAGCAAACAACCAAGGCCATTGAATGCTTAATAATAATAATAATAATCATAATCATAATGATAATAATAATAATAATAATAATAATAATAATAATAACATATTTAACCAGGGTAAGCCCGTCAGCTGAAGCTGTTATAAATGGGTGCCCTGGGCAACTAACAACTAACAATTAAAGGAAAAAATAACTACAACAGATCAACTATCAGAAAAATGTAATAACTATGTACAATGTTGATGGATAAAAACTAAGAATTATATAACTACGTATTAATTCTCAGATCTTTATTTTTATTTTTTATACATGTTCTTCGGCATCTTATAGTAATTCTTCACAAAATTTTTCCAGTATGGAGTCAACTTCCTTCAGATGGGGTGGCAAGTTATTAAAAGCCTGGGCTCCAGTATAAAATGTTCCTTTCCTGGCAGATTCTGTATGGACTTTAGGAAATAAAATATTTAAACCATTACGCCTAGTCGAATAAACATGTGAGGACCTATTAAAATAACTCTTTAAAAGATTTAGAGCAATGTTACGGAGACACTTTAAAACACAAGTTAAATTGTCAATAGGAGAACGCGCCTTAAGGGACTCCCAACTTAATTGGCCTAACAGTTGATGGCGCAATGTAGCGCTCCATCGACAGTTTTATATCCGGCTCCTTTAAATCCATCAGCATAGTCTGCTGGACACACGAGTTTCTTGCCGGTGTCTTTTTGGCAAAAGAGGCCCCTACTCCAGTCCAAAGGCGTGTTGCTTCTATTACTTGAAGAACCAGTAATGTCATTGACTGATACGATTCTAAAAGACGGCTTCATTTTGTCTCTCAGCGAATTAGATAAGCCATCGTAATAATTTGAACGGTGAGGAAGATAGCAACGTGGTGCACAGCACAAAACAATAAACCTAATTATTCAGTACAACTCATGAACATGAGAACACTTTTTGGATTCAGCCTTGTAAAAAAGGAAGAAAGCAAGTGTAAAATTTTTCAAGAAATTCCCGGCTACTCCTGCCACCGGATGCTTTAACATTTTGCTTTTCGTGCCTAAAAAACATTAAACAAGTTTAAAGACTTTTTCTCCTACTCAAGGAAAACAAAAATAAGGGAACAAAATACTATGATACTATCAATTTCAATGAATCTAGTTTCTATAGTTCCACCTGAAAATGACAATGCTTTTTTTGAAACATTCAAATATTTCAATTCTGATAGAATTTGAGAGGTTTGAGCTCTTTTAATGAATATACAACATTAAATATATTTATTCATCTTACTTGTAAGTAATTGTGCATCATTCTGTCATACTAAAGATTCTCGCTGGCGGCCATTTTGAAAATGCCCTTGCCCCCCGTCGAAGGTCATATCCATATTGCCTATAATCTTTAAAATGTTTCCCATGATTCATAGTATTAGTGTGCCAAGTTTCATGCTCTTATCATAACGTGCACGATTACCCTTTAAAATGGCACATATCCTCTGGACTAAAAGCTTAATTTTAATTCATACTTCTATCCTGTATTGCAGAGGTTTTTGCATTGTTCTCATACTTTTATCCTGCATTACAGCGCTTTTTATACTGAAATGTATATTTTTTAAGGCTCTAATTTAATAACTTATTATTTTTTAGGTTAATAGTTTAGTCTTATAAGAGGACCCCTCAGTAAACCATTTAGACAGTGAAGTCGGCTTCCTCATTAAAGATTAAATTATTAAAACCTTAAAACCCTTACAGATTTTTTGAGATTTTGATATCTAAATATTCCTTGTCTCAGAGTTAATATTACTTTAATTTTTATGAGTTCCTCAAGGGCTGAATTCACGCATTAGTAGGAAAACTCAAAAAAATATGTTTCTGTTGGTTTCCGGCGGCCATATTTGGGCCTCTCAAAGGGCCACCGACATGGCGTCTCCATACAAAGCTTTACAAATTTGGGTAAAACGTTTTCCCGAATAGCTCGCATGTGAAATATCGCACAGACTTGATGCTACGTGAGGCTATCTGAATATTTGCCTTCTTCTATTTCCCAGATTCTGGACTTTCTATATTGAATGGTTTGCATTTTTATTTTTGGTGGTGTGACAGTGAAATAGAGAATTGATAACATCCTAACTAACGGATTTAAAGAAAACTTTATCAATGAGATCTTTAATCTTTCTGATCATTTTCCTGTATTTACCATTGTTAACAATATTAGTGTTAAAAATAAGAATTCGTCATAAAAATAATAAGCATCGGAAGAAAAACGAGAAGCTTGAATCAACGCGTTGGGAACAATAATCAAGAAATCAATCCAAATAAAGCCTATGATCTATTTTGTAATATAAACTGTTTGCGATATGTGATGATTGCACACCAATAAAAAAATCAGTAACAAATGAAGGAAATCCAAAAAATCCCTTGCCATCAAAAGGAATTTCAACATCACTGGCGATTAACAATAGACCATATAAAAAAGCATTAAGACAACATCAACAATATAAAAGGGATATCGA